TCAAATCACAAGGACCATTATTAAAATGGAACCTCAAACAGCATAAGAAACAGCACACTCAGCCTGCTGATAAACAGCTTATCCTCACTGGTACAGTAGTTCAGAAAGTGACAGTATTGCAACATTGGCCCTATTTAAGCTCTGAGTTATGTTTCTGGGATCACTTTGGACGCCTCTTAAGGGCAACAACCAGCAATCACTGCTCAGAAACAGACGCAGCAAAAATTTCACCATGTACTTCAGAGCCAAACATGATATTTAGCTGAGTATCCTTACTTGTAATCAATCCATCTTTTCTCACTCTACCTGTGTTACACCTGATGTTATACACATTTTGTCAAAACACTCAATCTTTATAAATTCATGAAAATGAAAAATATACACAGTAACTTGTACTTTAGACACTGCAATTTATCATCAGAAACCAATTCATTCCCTCTTCCCTGCACTGAAAACTCCATATTTTGAATGTATGTTTTCTGCTTCTCAATTCTAAAAAGTATGAATAGTTAATTATAAATTTCATGCTCCCACTAAGTCCTTACCTAAATCATTTGTAAACATTTAAAATGGAAATTAAAGATTTCAGCTGGCTCTTCACTGTTTACTTGTTTATTTTTTTTACTGTTACAAAAGCACTCCAGTCACATGTCCCCCGTAAAATGAAGCAGCTCCTTTTATATCTCTGTCCTTTGCATTGGTATATTAATTTGAGCAGTTGAAAACTCTGTTATTGATACTAAGGCCTGGATTGTGCAAGAAGTTATTTTTAAAGATAATAAAATGTTGGTCCTACATTTCCCAAGGTACTCTGACTCCAGCTCTGCACGGAGAGGAGTTGCTTAGACTTACATGCATAACCAAGAGGTGTAATAATGTAAATCCAGGAGGGCCTGCCTCACATCTAATGAATAATCACACAGAATGTATTTGTGGATTAAAGTATCGGCATCAGCATGGCTTTTAATCCATACAAACCCCAGAGTCACAAAAAACCCTTCTCCAAGCAATAAAATGTATTTTCTCTGTCTCCCCACTATCAAATATAAAAGCTGTTAATCTTCAGGTAGTAATTGCGAATGACCACACAGAGCACTCCAGCCTCTGACAGGCACTTCTGCCATCCCAATCAGTCACTTCTGCTTGGAGAGCAAATCCAAGGAGTGTGGGCATGCAGGAGTAAAAATTGATCATTTAAAGATGAAATCAAATTGCAGTTTCTATTTCATTATAAGAACAAAGCTGTGAAAAAGTCTACACAGCTTATTTATTTAAATACATTAATTTAAAAACACTGTAACAGCACTGGGTTAGACAGGGAAGAACTTCCTGCAGTGCAAGCCCACATTCTGACATCAGCTACATCTCTGCAGGTAAGGACAGCACGTGGCCTTTGTTTAGTTTGTTCAGCCAGTTAAATACAATAGTTAGTTTAAGCAAATACAAGAAACAGATGAAAAGGGTTAAAAATCAAAAAAAAGCTTGCTCTCCTCTGTTACTTCATAAATTAAAAGCCAAACAGAACAGAGCTATTGGGTATAAGAAATTGAGAGGCACAAGAATTAGCAACAACATTTGCAAGAATCAAGTTGATATTTCCTTTATTAAATACCAAAACATTTTTTCTTAATTAGTATATTTTAGATGGTTTTATTTATCTGACAAAAAAAGCATAAAAGTGGCTTTCTGGAACACTAATTCAATTCTAGTTTCCATGCAACAAAACCAAGAAAATATTACCCCCTTTCTTCTTAAAAGACTCCAAACAGATGAACATAAAGCAAAGCATTTATTTGAATTGTGAAGATACAATGCACAATACAAAACACAGAGGCAGAATCAGGTGAGACTTAAAAGCATCCCAAATATCTCACACTACACAGGAGACAGCAACTAGTAACCAGGAACCCAAAGTCATCTGTTCAGTATGTGATCAGAACAGGGCCTCAAAGCTGATTACACTTCCCTATAATCCCATCATTTTGCTCAGGAAATGGCCTTTCTGAGGAAGGACAGGATCTTGATGAGAAACTACATTTGGCAGGACTAGACATGGGATTCTTCAGTCAAGTCCTCCAAAGTATAAGACAACAAATGAATGCTTCAAGTGAATGTGTTGAAAAATGAACCTTAGAAGTAACAGTGTCCAAAACCATTGACTTGCCACAGCAAAATACATAAACCACCTAACCTCACCTCCCTGCAGATTTCTATCCAACGAGGAAAAGCAAGGCTTCTTCCAGCTGGCAGGGTTTTCACCACTTTACAGAAACATATAGCTATAAGCACTGACTGAAAGGCTGTCATGGCAATCCAGTATTGAATGAGAGAAACAAAAGTGCAGGTGGAGACTCACCAAGGAACTGAACTTCCTAAGCTTACTCTCACAACTCATTTTTAAGCAGTAAATGTAAAGCCATCACACACACTTTTATTATGTTATGCAGAGATAGTCAAAAGACTGTAGAGTAACCCTTGTGTAACACAATTTGGGATGTTCACTGCTCTAAGAAGAATGGTTGAGAGCTTTGACAGCAGCACTGAAATGAATAAATTCCTGCCAGGTCAAGTCAGAGAACAAAAAGTCACAGCAGAAGAAAAAAGAAAACTAAAATTTGTCACCTAAGCAATGGTACAGCAAGTAATCCTTAAATAACAACCCCCTCCCCATCACATGATTCATTCCAAAATCCACGTTCATGACTTATTACACAATTAGCAGTGCTATGACACCACACAGTGCAACTCCTCCATAATGCAAGACTCTTACCAATAACCATTCATTAGATGTGTCTTCTCTAATTAAAAATGACTCATGAAATAAGCTGCATTATATGATTAAGCTTTGAACAAACCAAAGCAAATTTAACTGAATTAAATTTAACTCTATACAGTATCTAGTTAACAATGTTCAAAATAAGTGCTGGAGAATGAACACCTGGTTGTAAAGTTCCTTTGAAAGAGTAGAAAGGCCTTTCCCCTGTAAAATGCTCCAGGGACCCAAAAAGGTCAAGGGAGCATGGCTGAGAGAAGACAGAGATTAAAGGGAACACCTGCAGAGCTGACCCTGCCTTGGCAGGAAGGTGGACTAGATGATCCCCAGAGGTCCCTTCCAACCCTAACAACTCTGCGATTCTGTGAAACCAATGCAAGCAAAATATAATTCCTGTTCCTGGCTTCTCAGTCACCACACCTTCACTACTGCAACAGGAAAAGCAATTGGATCCCCTAAGGCTTAAGATCTCAGTTTTACAAAACACAGCACGTGTCCAGCACTGACTGGAGAGGAGGAGGACCACCAACCCCAGCACTGGGTCCCACACCAAACAGCCACCGTGCCCCTGAAAAAAATCAAGACTTAGAAGTAACATGCCATGGCACCGAATTCAGCTTCCTGGTAATGTTTCATAAACAACATCCCATAAACAGCAAGGTTTTGATAACTTGAACTGGAAGGCTCTTCACAGTTTGCATGGTCAGACATGCACCAGTTTTCAGAGCAAGCTTATTCACAGCCAACTTGTTGTCACACAGCTGTGACACAGACCATTCCCTTGGCTTGCCCCTTGGACAGTGCCAGAACTCTGTCTACCCTGCCCTTAGGTTTGTACTCTTCCATCATCTGACAAACCATTTTCATCATTTTCTAGGCATCCTCTGATCCAGGCCCATCCAAGCTACCCTCCTATGTGCAATACAGATGTCATCTGATATTCCCTCATCACAACACTTCCACTCACACACCTGCGGTCAGTGTTTCCACTTCCCATCACCATTACCAGCCCTTTTCTCCTCTGCCATGTGCTTTCCATTTCCCTCTCTTCTGTCCCTTAGTAGAACACATAGTCTAAAACCAAAACTTCTACAAAACACTGCATATAACAAATCTTATTAATACTGAAAAGACCTGTGCTACCTGTTGTCTGAGACTCTCAAATGAAAAGTGAAGTGTGTATTACAGAATAATTTAAAAACCTCTTAAGAACCACACAGTCAGACCTGGGGGAGAGAGCAGGGGCAAGCAGGAGGGTGTGACAAGATTATTCACCAACTCTGACCCCAACCAATTGCCTAAACTACTTGAAACCAACCTGCAATATTTTCCCCTTCCTACCTACCTGCATCAGCTTTATTTTAGCAAGGCTTGTCTCTTCCTCACTGAAAACAAGACACTGACTGACTTTCAGAACTTGGTGAATTGTATTTTTTTAAATGCCTTTATCAGACCCAGTGAGAGGAGCAGCTGCCTGTTCCTTGGCTCAACAAACCACTTTTCTTTTGAACTGGCTACATCATTCAGAACGAGGGAAGAAGAGCACTACCTGTGGAATCTGATAGTTTTCTACATGTGGTTCTTAAATTACATAATCGACTCTATTGTGCACAGTATGTAGTTATTTCATGAAAGAAAACAGTGTTTATTCCCAAGACACATCTCAGGAAGTGGGAGATGAACTCCTGTCCATACAGCAAACGGGGCAGACTGCCAGTTTTAAACATACATATTTATGTACCTTGAGCTTAAACTGATAACCTTTGCCATCATATATATATACATATATAATATATATACATAAAACAACATATCTACGTGTTTATATTAATGGCTCCAAATAAACTGGGCAGCAATATCCTCTCCCTCTCTCAAGAGGGTAGAAGGGGCTGCTGTTTGTAAATGCTGTGAGTTTCTTTCACGTTTCAGAAGACCGGTAGAACACCCTTGGCAACTCCTTCTTCCCACTCTTCAACAAAGTAACTTTTCCGTCCTTCCAGAGAGATCAGACAAAGCAGCGCTCCGGACCGTGACAGACCGAACTTCCCGGGCAAAGCCCCGCGCCGGGGGGGAGCCCCTTCCCAGCCCGCCGGGAAGGAGGAGCGCTCCCAGCTTCGGGAGTCCCGGGATTCCCGGCGCAGCTCCCGCAGCGCTGTCACCGCTCGCACCCCCTGTGAGCGGCACCGGCTGCGGAGCGGGGCCGGCCGGCGGGGGTTCCCTCACTCACCTGCGGTTCATGGGCCGTACCCGCACGGCCACCTTCACCGAGGCCATGGCTCATCGCCGCCGACTGTCCGTCCGTCCGTCCGTCGGTCGGTCCGTCCGTCCGTCCCCGTCACGCCGCGCCCCGCCCGCCCCGGGCCGAGCCAGGCCAGGCCGCCCCTGCCTAGGCTGTGTCGCTATGGCAACCGCCGCCCTGCCCAGGGGGACGGCGGCCGCGCAAGGACAAACAACGCGCCACGCGTTCGGCTCCCCGGGTGGGGCGGGGGAGTTGCGGGAGAAGGAGGAGGAAGAGGAGGAAGAAGAAGGCTGAGAAGAGGGGTTTTGAGGGTTGGGGAATGGGATTAGCGATAGATACGGCGTGTGGGCGTGTAGGAGCTTCTCCATAGCGTCGTCCACCGCAGTGTATTTATTGGGCGGGGGGGCGTTATGTGCCTATAGGTGTCTGTTTATACATAAATATACTCATATATACGTATATATCACAGAATCCATTAGGCTCTAAAAGACCTCTGAGATCCTCGAGTCCAACCTATGACCCAACACCACCATGTCAACTAGACCATGGCTCCAAAGTGCCACGTCCGATCTTTCCTTGAACACCTCAAGGGATGGTGACTCCACCACCTCCCTGAGCAGCCTGGGCAGCCCATTCCAGTGCCTCGTCACCCTTTCTGCGAAGAAATTCCTCCTGATGCCCAACCTAAACCTCCCCTGGCACAGCTTAAGACTGTCCTCTCGTCCTGTCAGTGATTCCCTGGGAGAAGAGGCTGATCCCCACCTGGTTACATCCTCCTTTCAGGGAACCATCTGGCTATATGTACGTATATGCATATATACACATACATATAGAAATGTATCTATATGTAGATATATTGATATATTTTTATATAAATAAAATATATAGAGAGAGATATTTTATACATGTTCTATATATACATATATGTATATGATGTGTGTGTATATATATATATCTATCATCATCATGATGATATATATATATACCCACCACTGCAAATATATAAATACCCATTATACATAGAGAGAAATCTGTATTTAGAGTTATAGATAGGGATATCTATGTACACACACCTATATGTATATATATCCCTTTACACACTCCTATATATCTCTCCCTACATATATACACCCCCCTATGCACACAATACACAATATATACATAATATATATTTATATCTAAATACATGTATGTGAGGGGAGAGAGATATCTATGTAGATATATAGGTATAGATATCTATATCTGTTGATAAATACATAGAGAGAGATATAACTCATATAGATATATGCCTTTTGACAAGGGCACGGAGTGACAGGACAAAGGGAAATGGCTTCAAACTGACAGAGGGCAGGGTTAGGTTAGATATGGGGAAGGAATTCTTCACTGTGAGGGTGGTGAGGCCCTGCCACAGCTTGCCCAGAGAAGCTGTGGATGCCCCATCTCTGGAAATGTTCAAGACCAGGTTGGACAGGGCTTTGAACAACTCCGTGCCCACAGCAGTGGAGTTGGAATGAGATGATCTTTAAGGTCCCTTCCAACCCAAACCATTCTGATTCTATGATTCTATGAAATAATAAATATTTTTATTTGTTTGGAGTTGTCAGTGCTTGGAAACTACACCCAGGATAGAGACATCATTTAAAATCCTGTATAAACAGTTTCATTCAAGTCACTATGGTGTTACCAGCTTGATAAGCCAAAAGAAAAAAAAAAAAAGAAAAAAAAACAAACCACAACACCAAACAAAACAAACAAAAAAACCCCACAGTTGCCAAGACACAGAAGATTTCAGAGCCAAATACCTCAGTTTTAGCAGTGACTCCTACTGGCAACTCATCGTATCCAAAACGAGAAAGGAAAAAAGAAGGGGAGGTGACATCAGCTGACGAGCAATTAGCATCGATGGCAAGCGGGGTCATGTAGATGAATGAGCTGACCTGGGAAAAGGAGAGCAGAGGAGGGAAAGTGAGAGATAGAAGGACCCAGTGTTTACAGCCCAGAGGTGTTGGGGGAAGCACCAGGGTCAGAGGAACTCAGCCAGGACAGAAAAAATTTGGAGGATGATTGACTGCTGGAGGTGGTCAAAAGGGATGGGGTGGAAGCCCAACAGACATTGAATGACAGCTGAAAACCAGGACAAAAAGAGATGCCACAGGGTGGAGAAAGGAGAGGATGAAGAAAGAAGACATAAAAGTGATGTCCCCAGCAGTGCATCAGATCAACCGAGAGATGAGGTGATGTTTGAAGGGAGAGGTCAGGTCCAAGGGGTGGTTTTATTGCAAAAGGAAAGCTATTATATGTTCAATTTGCTTGAGAAAGAGAAGAGGAGGGATGAGAACAAGAGGAGGCCAGGGCAAGGGGTTAGAAAGCCACTGGTGCAGCAGCTTAAAAGAGAGAAAGGAGAAAGAAATATAGGGCCGGTAATAGGAAAGATGGAGGAAGGAACAATATACAGAGAGAGAGAGAGAAGAGCACATTGTTGGAGATGCAGCAAACTTTCAACTGCTAGACAGGACCTTTGGCCTGGGAGTCAGAGATTAAAAACAGTTTTGAAGTTTTGGAGATGGAAAAGAAAGTAGTGGATTTATAATGGGGATTTTTCCCGAGGTTTTCAGTGATGTGAGAGGACAAGCAGAGGGGAAAGATGCAAGAGGGGAGACAGTTTGTGGTGCTGAGACAAACTCAAGGGTAAGAGAAAAGAGTCAGGAGAAGTTTCAGCACTAATGTCAGAGTATCTCGTACCAGAGGTCACAGGAGCTCCAAAAAAGAAGGGAAGGGATCAGCTGTGCTGTGCCAGAGAGGTGTTACAGTGGGAGAGAAAGAACCAGGGCATTGGGAATTCACAGGAGCAGCAATATTTGCTTAAAAATCATCCAAAGACCAGGTCACTGTGGTGAGCAGGGGAGCTGACACACAACAGCAGCCAAATGTTCAGGCAGGGAGACCCCCATCAAGGCATCGGACAAATTGCTAAAGCCTGTTGAAAGCCTTATAGAGGACCTGGGAGATGGGCAACAAACTGACAAGCAATAGCACATACAGATTAGAAAGATAAGAATAAGCTAAAAATTGTATAAGAAAAAATAGACGTATAGACACACTCATAATAAGATTTAAAAAAAAAAAAAGCAGCAGTAAAAAGTATAATAGAATGTAATGATTTTTGGCATATATTAGGACTCCTAGGAAAGCCAACCAACATGTAGCCTAATTTGTAGAGCATCTACTAACTCCTCTCAGACAACTGTGCTTCCCCTCTCTCTGGTTAGCAAAACTGTTGAAATACATCTTGTTCAGTAAGTACATCTCCACATTCTGTGTTCCCAGGCATCCAGCCATCAGGGGATAAGAGCTCCTCCACACTCACATATCCTTCTGCATCATGGAAAGCATTTTTCCACTTTCCACGGTGAGTTCCAATTGCAGATGGGACCAGCTAAGGCACCCGCAGCACGCCCAGCATGAAGCAACAAAGCATCTCCAAGCTCTCACATCTTCCTAAAATTCTCCTTGCCTTGCTATTTAAGATATTTTTTTTTTACCTTTGCCAGGCCACGAAACAAATGCTGTGGGCAGCAGGTGAAGGGTAAAGCCCAGCCTGGTTTAATGAACCCTTGTCCGTGGGCACTGAGTGCTTGGTGGTTGGGGGTGTGACCGAGCAGCAGAGCCAGAGGGGTTGGCTTCACTCAGGATATAATTCAATACAACAATTATAGTCAGGAAAGTGGGAAAAAAATTAATCTGCTCAGTAAGACTAAGCAGAACTTATTGCTGGAGTTAGACACATTCAACACCAGTACTGTTTTCCTGGCTTTAATGTACATCCACAGGCAGCACAGGTTCGCTCCTTTGACACATTTCCATGTTCTTCTCTCTCCTGCCCCTTGGTTCAGCAATGAGTTAATAGCCTGAAGCTCTCACCAGTTCAGTCTGTCCCATGACATTATTACACACTGCATGTTATGTCTTCTGCAATTGCAGTGAAGGACAGACAAATTTTACCAGAGGAGGGTGCAGGAGGAAGGCTTCTTTCCTAAGGCTGCGCCTTGTAGTTACGCTGCTCATTGGATGTTTAGAGGATTGAGGCTGTAGGAAAGTCACTCTGTTCTCAGCCTGGCTTCTACAAAACTTGACAGAAAGGGATATTTCTCAGACTTCTGTGCGTAGGTGACGGTCTGTAGACATTAACTCCACCGCCAACACAATATAAATGGATGTAAATATACATACCCGCACCAAGTGCATCAACCTCCTTTCCTTAAAAACCTATAGGAAAATATATCTTTCAGTTTCTAACTACAAACTATTTTACACTCAGATACTCCTGGCAGAGTTTACAAACCCTAACCAAACCTAAGTCCTAACCAAACCAAAGGCACATACATTCCCAAAGAGTCCTCTACTCCCTTGGTGTAAGTGTCTTTAAGAAATACGTGGTTCAGATATGGTTAATGAAACATTTCCAAGAAGTTTCCTCGCAGAGTCACAAAGAGCCTCTCTGCTACCCTTCACTTAGAGTTGAGAAAGCGACTTCCACCTGCAGTAGAAAGGATCCTCAAACTCAGAGGTGGGATCTCTGGAGCTTCTGCAACCTGCTGACAAGAACACAAGCAGCACTGCACCTCACTGACTCTTGACCACCATCTCCTGCCCCTCCTCCTGGCTCATAATTGAGCTCTTGCGGTGGACCTGCTCATTCAGAAATGCCTTTAGGCACATACCATCCTTTCCTGGGGTTGCAAAACAGGTCCCAAGCCCAGGAGATGACAGGCTGGACCTTGCTAATAATGAGTGGTGCAAAGTCTGTCATTCAGGCCCTTCCAGTGATGGTGACCAGTTAGTTGCCTTTCCCTGCATTTGTATGCAAAAAGACTGGAAGTGCAGGAATTAATGACTTGGCCTATTGTTACTTCTTACCTGCTATAATACACTTTTCTCATCACAGTTTGTAATATGTTTCCAAGAAGGAGACATGAACCAGGACTTCTACCTGAGTGTGCTGAGATACCCTTCCTGTTGGCAGACAGTTGAGGGGACAGATGGATGGGCATCTCCCCACCC